TGCAGAGCAGTTTTATCTTCCGCCTTTGTCATTGGCCTTTGTCTGTTTTTTGAAATAGCTCTGCTGCCCTTAACTTCCACCGTCACTTGTAATCTTGGCTGCCCCAGCAGACTTCAGGTCTCATCTCTTCACTCTTCTTTCCGTGTTTTCTTCTTTGTCTCTGGTTTGTTTTCTCTCTTGTAGCCTTAGATACTTCTCCTTTATTCTTCGGTGGCAAACCCACCAATCAAGCTCCATGGGTTAGAATTTTCAGGACTTTGGAGCTTGTCAGATCTTTCTAAGGCTACTCCCAGATCAAAGGTTCTTTTTTTTTTTCTCCCAAACCGATGCTGCTTTCTTTTTCTTTATTCTGACTTCTGAGTTCAGTGACCTCCCCAGGTATTTTAGTATGTCAAGAGCCAGAAGTTTTCTACTAAGCAGTGACCTTGGAGGCAACGTGTTGAAGTGGGAGGAGGAGTCCTGGCTTTGGAGCCAGCTCTAAACCTGATTCTATGACATTCCCCTTTCTTATTCCTCTGAGGAAGGCAGGAGGCCCAGAGGAAGATCTCTCCCTTGAGATCACAGTGATGGGGAACTCGGGGACAGATAGACCCCACTTGAGTCCTCATTCTTTGGACTCGGAGGGCTGTAAAGTGCATTTGTGTCTGTGGCCTGAAAGTCCCCAAACGTATTCCTTGACACAAAGCTACTGTTTCACTCAGGATGGCCCATTCATTGTCACCCAGACACATCTCTTGCTTGGTCTCTTCACCAGACGTGCCCTCTTCCCTCGTTCTTCACCGGGTGCTGTGATAAGTCTATCCTCATGGCGGGTAAGGGTGCAGTTTAAGGGAGTTTGGGCCTAGGGAGTCACAGGAATGGGGGGGGGTTAGAAGGCAATAACATGGTAGATGGCCAGATGGTCTGCGTGAACAGCAGCTGGCTATGAAGGAAAACACGGTCTGCTTTACAGCTTGCTAGATAGAGTGGGCCAGGTGAGTGTGCACTCACTCAACTCATTCACCCAACAGCAGGAGTTATCCCCAGGTTGATTATCTAGGTTTTCCCATTCTCCTACACTGATTCATTCAACTACACTTTTTAACACCTACACATGCTTGGCACTGGGGATGCAGAAACAAAAACAAGGAAATGAAACTCCTACTAAGGGCCAGGGACTTTTCCAGATTGTCTGCTTCCCTTGTTTTCTTTCTTTCTTTCATGTCATCCATTCATTTGCTGAGCCCTTATTCAGTGCCTCCTAACAACAAAAATAAAACTGTCCCTGCAGAGTCTGCTTTCTGCTTGGACGTCTTGCCATCTCAAACTAAACAGCACACAAAAATTCCCCAGTGTCTCCCAGGCAGCTCTGTCAAAACCTACAGAGGATATGAAACTACCAATGGAGTGAAAGCCAGAGAGAACCCACCAGGAATCGTAAGAGAGAGGGACTGTGATAAGGACTCCACTTGTGATTTCACTGGTACAGATAATTCCCAGAGGAGGAAACCCCCCAAGTTACAGATTGGTATTCAGATCAGCTAATTCTGCCTTAGAGAAAATGACTTACTTAGGGTCACTCACCCTGGATGAAAGGTAAGCATCCATAAAAGTGGTCATGGTAAGACTATGAAAGAGGTGAAATCAACACATTTCCATTTTTGCATCCCCCCTCCTATATAATCAAACAGAGCTGAATGAAGCAGTATACCCTTTATTCAAATTAATACAAGGTATCCCAAAAGTTTTTTAAACTTAAAATGCACTTGGACTTTTGAGATACCCTGTAATAAACAGGCAGAAGAACACAGCTCAAAGCCACCTTCCATTCTTACTAAGTTTCTCATGGCAAGCCAAATCTGCAGAACACAGGTGAGCTCTATTTACTATAGGAAATCACCAGAGATGAACAAGAAAACCATCTGGATCTTTAATGAATCCAGCTTTCCAAAACGGAGGCATAAGGGGCAAGGATCCACTCTGCCTTCTGCTCTTAAGTGGGCTACATGCATTCTTTTCACTTTAAAGGCTTTTGCTACCACCTAGCATGCAGCTCTCCTTCATGGAGGGCAGAAGTCTGCCCGGAAGTGGAAGTCCTCAGTCCCACCTTCCTATGCTTAGCAGATTTTACAACAAATTTTTGCAAAAAAGCAGGAGCTTTTTAAGAAACTGCCAGTATTGCTTAAAAACCATTCATTACTAAACTGTCTTTGAGGCAAGATTCGGCTACACAGAATACTTGTGAATATACGTTAAAATTGAATAGTCCAAATTGATGCACGTCATTTCTTCGTGACAGTTTAGTGAACATTTTTCTGGTCTGAAAAATAAAGTTAACACATTAGTTGTTATTGATCTGTGCATTATAGTCAAAATGCTACACTTGAGAAAATTTACTACAGTGTTTCAAAGTACGGACTTACAAAATTTAACGTTCTGTGTCCTAAGATTCTGCTCCGATATCATTGGCTTTGTTATCTGACTCGCCATCCTCAGCGCCACTCATATCAGATGGGTTTACTTGGTCATTGTCGCTGTGCCACACGTTGTGTCGTTGAACGAACCTCACGACCCCGCCACGACTCACCTCAAACTGAGTTGTAAGAATGTTGTGTTGGGGCTACCTTCTGTGCCTTCATTTGCAACATCTCAAACGATACACTGCAGCCATCGTCATACATTTCATTAACCTACACAAACACTTCATCAATTTATGGACACTTGACTGTCTTAGGACCTCTAAACTCGCATCTAGAAAGATCTGTGTGTGTTTTTTAGCTTGTCTTTTGGTTTCCGCCAATCTCACACCAACTTTTCACTCAGTGAAAACTTCTGCAGCTCTGTTTCCAACACAATCACTTTCAGTTTGAAGCCCGAGGAACAGTTTTCATATTTACCCATAATCAAAAAGAAATGCTTCACACATTAATGGATCGCTGGCAAACAAACTGTACAGTTTAGCTAGTGTGGGAAGATGCAAGTCATACCATAGCATGTGATTTACTCATGGCGGCTTCGACTGTCCCTCTGCTTCCCTTGCACCGAGGGCTCCACATTGGGTTGAGCGACAATACAGTTAACACTGCAGCACCGAACAAACCAAGAGACTCAAAGTACTGACAATGGGCATGCGCTGAGAATCCTAGGCTCCTGGGCTTGCAATGCTCCAGAGACAAACGTGCACTCATAGGCCACTGGTGAATACACTGCTACTGTTTACCTTTTAAGCAGTGTGATGAACAGAATTATACCACGCAATGATCATTCGATAAAAGGTTACAAACGAATTTTTGGACTGGGAAAAAATACCCACCCAGGGTGGGACAATTATGCAGTGAAATATTGGCACTAAGGGCCTGGCGCAATGCTAAGTGCAGCAGATAGGCTATGAGCCAAAAGACAGTCCCTGCCCTGAAGGAGCTTGCATTCTAATGGGGGAGACCACGTGCAAAGAAATAAACACAAAGCCAATGGTATACAGGATAAATAGGAAATAATTAACGGAGGAAAGGCGCTAGAATCTAGACGGAAATTTAAATTGGGATTTAAAGGAAGCCTGGGAGGTCTGGAGTCCGAGTGGAGTGTTCTAGGCCCGGGAGTCAGCCAGAGAAAATGCCTAGATCCAAGAGACGGAGTGTCTTGCTCTAGCCAGAGCCAGGAGGACGGTGACACCCCTTGAAGGTCTGCACACCCTAAAGATCCGACCACACTCCAGAATTTTTCCTTTCTTGCTGTCTCTGGTGCTTAATTTTCCCCATTTCCTGAGGCTTCAGCTCTTTGACTTTATTATTTGAACTAATTCAGTACAAGCCAACAAAAATTTAGTTCTGCACTGGGCTGGATAGGGGTGACCTTTCTGGGGGGTGGGGGGGAGAAGGGAGAGCCTGTGATTGTATTCCATTCACGGGCACATAACGGATGTTTGCTGTGACAGCGGCTGTTACGGTACCACTTGATTCAAAGGAGAAGTTGCTGCTCTTCAGGAGTTTACATTCCCTCCCGGCACCCCATAAACACATTATACACAGTCATTTCAGGAGAGAGAGAGAAACATTATTACCAACCGGGGAGTGGGAAAGGCTTGCCACCTCCTACACTAATTTGTCTTTGCTCATTGAACTCCCACGAGGACCTGCTAGAGCTGTTCTTGGTGGCCCAGTGTGGTGGCCGGTGGTCACAGAAACGCTACCGCGTCCGGCTGAGCCGTAGCCTACGATGCTGCGGGCGCTGCCATAAGCTCCGGGGGTCCCCGCGGCTCAGCATACAAACACCTACGGGCGAGCCCGGTGCGGACGGGTTACCGGGGAGGCGATCCCGGAGGGCAGGCGCTAGAGCCGTCAGGGAGGATCGGGAAAAGCTTCGGACGCTTGGAGGAAGCCCCGGGAGGGGGCGAACGTTCCTGGCGCGATGGGGGGCCGCCAGGGAAAAGGCTCGGAGTCTGGAGATTGAGCGGCAGGTGGGAAGGGCAGTTTGTCGTCAGAGGCCCCCAGCACCTGAGCTAACTCACGCAGGAAGTTCAGCTTTTCCCGTTTAGGGGCTGGGGCGGGGGCTGTTTTAATCGCACTTCGCGGCTGTTATCTCCTTTCCTCCTCCCACCCCCTCCGCTTGTGCAATCTGGCAGATTGTCCAGATAAGTGAGGGCCAGCCCCGGGGCGCTGGCTGAGTCACGCTGGCGGGCAATGAGTAACTAACTACTCTCGTAGAACCAGGAGTGCCTGTCACCCGTGGGGGAAGGGGAGATGCCTCCGTCAAACCCTTCCAACAATCAGGCGCACCAGAAGGAGCCTCGGCCGCCGGGGAGGGGAAGGATGCTCCGGCTGGAGGCTTCGGAGTAAGCCGCACGCCGGGCGGGCTCCGTTTTCCAAAGTTCATTCACAGAGTCAGGCGCCCGGGGAGATTTCCCTGACACAGACCACATGCCCCGCCCCCGGCCCGAGCTCCCCAATCGGAGGCGTCGAGGCGCCGGGGGCGGGGCCCGGGGCTGAAGCTCGAGGGAGGCGGGGCCGGGGCTTGGCGTCATGGCGTGACGCAGGCGGCCGGTTCTCGCCCGCCGCCGCCGCCGCTGCTCCCGCCACCGCCGCCGCCGCCGCCGCCGCCGTACCGGGTGGCGAGCTCGCAAGATGGCGGCTCTGGCTGCGTCCGGTGAGTGAGTGGCCGGGGACCGCGGGGGCGGGAGCGCGGGCGAGGGCGGTGCGGGCGCGGAGGGCGGTCCTGGCGGCGGCGGCGGCGAGCGCGGGACGGAGGAGTTTCCCGGGTCCGGGCAGGGGGAGGGTCCCGGGGGCGCGGCGTGAGGCGGAGCGGGAGGTCCCGCGAGGTGGCCCCCGGGGCCGGGGCCCGAGTCGGGGCCCGAGGCCGGGCCAACGGCGGGCTGCGGGGGCCGGGCCCTGCCTCGGGGCGGCGGCGGCGGGCGCAGGACCAGGAGGTTTCCTGGGAGTTTGGATTTGGCGCCTCTGGGAAGTTTGTCTGCGTCCTCGGCGTCCGGGGCCCGGGGCCGGCGCGGAGCGAGGGGGGCGGGGGCGGGCACAGGGGCGCGCGCCGGGCGGCCGCGAGGGCGGGGGCAGAGCGCGAGGCGGGCGGGCGGCGGTCCGTCCGTCTGTCTGTCAGTCCGCCCTGGCCGCCCCGCAGCGCCGCCTGCACCTGCCACCGCTCCCCGGGCACGGCCGGAGCTGCCTGCACCTGGCTGCGGCGGCCCCGAAAAGTGCGCCCACCTGGCCCCGCCCCGCCCCCGGCCCCCAGGCCGAGAGCCCCTGGCCGGGCTGTGGAGGGCGCCGAGCGGGGCAGCCCGCGGGCCTGGCGCCCGTAGTCTTTGTTGTGGGCCCGGGGCGGCCGCGCGGGCGGAGTGGACTGCGCGCTCAGGCCAACTTGGAGCTCGACTTCGAGGGGCGGCCGGTCCTGGTGAAGCGCCTACTGTGTGCAGCGGGGCGCTGCGCGGGGGAGACAAAGAAAGGGAGGGGGAGAGAGGGAGGAAGTGACAGGAGAGGAGAGAGAAGAGGGAGGAAGAGAAAGCTGGAGGGGATGGAGAGAAAGCTAGAGAGGATGGAGAGAAGAGGGAGGGAGAGAAAGCTAGGAGGATGGAAAGGAGAGGGAGAGCTAGAGAGGATGGAGAGAAAGCTGGAGGGGATAGAGAGAAGGAGAGAGAAGAGGGAGGGAGGAAAGCTAGAGAGGATGGAGAGAAAGCTGGAGGGGATAGAGAGAAGAGGGAGGGAGAGAAAGCTAGGAGGATGGAAAGGAGAGGGAGAGAAAGCTAGAGAGGATGGAGAGAAAGCTGGAGGGGATAGAGAGAAGGAGAGAGGGAGAGAAGAGGGAGAGAAATCTAGAGAGGATAGAGAGAAGAGAGGGAGAGAGAAGAGGGAGGAAGAGAAAGCTAGAGGGGATAGAGAGAAGAAGAGAGACAGGAGAGACAGCTAGAGAGAGAGGAGAGAGGGAAACAAGAGGGGAGAGAGAGATGCAAGCTAAGTTTGACACACTCTTGTAAAGGGAAGGCTTGGGGTATAGTAGCGTGTTTGGATGCCAACTTCAGGCAAACTTGTTTTAAGCTGTAGTCAGTCCAGTGTAATGAAAAAGAGTCGTGGCGGTGTTTTGTTGAGATGGTTAAGGTTGAGCTCCTCATTTTGTGCCAGACTGAAAATTCTTTTGTGTTCTCAGTTTTTAATTTAGCATCTCCGGGGGTGTAGTGGAGTGGAAGATATTTAGTAAATGTAGTGACCTCTCCCCTCCCCCATCCTCTTTTTACGTCCCTACTTTGTTCATCCCACGTCAACTTTCAGCCTGGTAAATGCAGTTTTTAACCACTTCAGATTGGGGTTGATGGATGACTCTTACCCTGCAAGCTAGAATGGTATCATTAATGACAAGCACATAGTAGGTGCTTCAGAAATGTTTGTTGACTTGAGAGAACGCTAGACTAATAAAAGGCTCCAGGAATTTTTCCAGGATGTAGATTGTCAGGATCCTTTTTTCCACTATATTTTGGTGAAATTTGACAAAACTGCTAGTGCCAAAGATTTTGTAATTTTATTTATATATCTTAGACAATTTGGGGAATAAACTTTGGAGAGGAAGAAGTCTTTAAAATGATAGCTCATCATCTGATCTGATTTGAATATTCCAGACACGTTCAGTGTTATGTGTTTAAGCCCTCTTCAGGCTGCCTCCTTTTTTTCTTTTTGTTGTGGGAAGTAACATTAGCATTCTATTGAGAGACAAATGTAAAAATTATTATATCTTGAAGTCATGCTGAAACATATTGTTAGAATAAAAGCAGAAATAGGAACTTTTTTCCTTAACCTTCGGCTAATTCATGTCACCTCTTAATTGGCCATAATTCAGAATTTTCTAACTTTCTAATCTGTCTATGTTCCCAATCCAAAATCTTTTGTTTGAAATCCACAAAACCAAAACCCCAAATCATTGTTCTTGTGGTTGCTTTGGAAATTAAGACGAATTTTCTGCTGAGGTAACTTCTGAAGTGAGAGATAAGGAGAGTGTTCTGGATTAATAGGTTTTTAGATGGCAGAACAAAAGTATTCTGAAGCTTCTCAACTACCAGTGTCCTAGTAAATTGATCATCATAATAACCATGGCAGTGACTTTGGATTAAGGGACTAGAAAAGGCATCTATGTATAGTATTTGTATTTTAGTTTGGGGATCTCTTTGAACAGATCTAGGAGGGCAGTTGTGTTTTAAGATAAGTTTCTGGATTTAAATATGACTTGTCTTGCTCAGGACTATCTCAGAAACACAGGACTTGTTATCCCCCCATCCTCTTTCTTGGACGTAGCTGTAGCTTTGTTATGTAGCATGTGGTGGTGATTGTAAATGGAATTTTACCTCTTGATTCCTTTTCACCCCAACAGGTGTTTGCCTTGGTATTCCTAGAAGGATGACACTAACAGAGCTTTTTAAGGTTCGCAGAATGCTTTGTATATATTCTCATTTTACCTTCACAGCAACTTGGTGAAGTGGGTGCAGTTATTGTCTCCATTTTACTGATCAGGAAGCTGGTCTGAAAGAGGTTTGAGTGACTTGCCCGGAGCCACTGTAGAATTTAAACTCAGGTCTTCTTGATGCCAACCAAACAATCTATCCATTATGCTACCCACCTAAGATAGTGTTTACATCCTTGTTAATATTAAAAGACAAGATATTGAGTCCCTAAAACTAGTAGGGTTTCTTAAATTTTTTTTTTTTTGGCAGGGACTTCTTTGGCATTCATGAAGCCTATGAGACCCCTCCTCAGAGGCAGTGATGTTTTTAAATAATGAAAAGAAATGCTAAATTTCAGTTAGGGATTAGTGAGATAAAGATATCATAATTTCCCCATCCAAGTTCCTGCACACTTTGAAATCTATTTGCTGGACCCTAGGTTAACAATTCCTTGTTCTGAATAGGATTTGTAAAAATCTTTGACCTGGTATTTGAAGAGTGGGTGTTACAAAGGCTCTCCAGGGTTGGTATTGGCAGCTGATGTGAATATTGGTAAACAGGAATTGATTCTTGGGTAAAGTCTTTTGTGAAAGCTTAGTTAACTGAGGAAATTAATCATCAATAGTGAATGTTTAGTTTGCCTGCTAGGTACATGGTGATGGGGTGGGGGCAATGATGTATCAAGTTTAAGATTATCCTGGTTTTTCAGAAATTTATAGTCATACCAATGCTTTGAAGTGTAAGCGCATCTTATATAAATCACCAAGCAACATGCCTTCTAACTGGGAAGGAGTGATCCAGAGCAGTCGGTCAACAAGTATTTATTTAGCTCTTAGGGTATTGGAGGCTTTGTGTTAAGCACTGTGGAGTCTGAGAAAAAAGTAGGGAGAAGCAAAGGGTGGTTGAGGCCTGGGAAATGAGGTGTCTCAGATGAGGAGGATTTCAGGTTAATTCAGGAAGGGAACAGAAAGAACAGAGAATTATCAAAATAGTTCACATTTTTATAAGGTTTTACAGTTTTTACAGTTTGCTCGCAACTCTGGAGTGTAAATATCATCCCTGTTTGTTTGTTTGTTTGTTTTATACAGATGAGAAAAGTGAAGCTTGGAGAGGTTGTATTTTGCCCATAAGTTAAACAAGAAGTAGCAGACTCCCAAGTTTTCTGACCAGTGCTCTTCTAGCTACTCTGAGTTGGTGGCGAGCTGGAAAGAGGCACCTAAATAAACATTGAATGGGAAAGCATCACGCCGAACAGGAAAAGTATTGCAGTGTTGTTAAGAAATAGGAAGCAAAGGACAGTTATTTTGAATTGGTGGTGCTTGAGGGTAAGGAGAAAACCATCCTAATCTCCCAGTTCTGATTGTAAATCCATTCTTTGCTACCTTGATTGAGGGTGGGATTTTTTTATTTGTTTGGAGAGGAGAAAATTGTTTAGGTCTTTAATGGAGAAATCCTATCTCTTCTTATGTAAAATGCCTGATAATGGCTCCAATTAAACATCTAAAGAATCTGTTTGGGATGTTCCTAAGCAATTGCTTATTTGGAGAAACTGATTTTGATACTGTGTCTGCCCTGAGTAATCAGAGAAATAGCCAGATTAAAAGGTTTTGAATATACCCACTTTTAGTATTTATTTCCGTTAGAAGTCTCCAAAAGGAAACTAGACTTTAATGAAGTTAGGATGTTTCCTGTGATGTCTTTTTTTTTTTTTAATGTAAAAGCAGTTTGTTCTAGTCATATGCAGTGGTGTTAATTTGATCTCTTCCTCACGTGCTTAAAGTGAAATATTCTTTGTGTTTAAGGACCTGTAATTTTACAAGAATTAGATGTTCAAAGGATAGATAGTTCTTGGAATATATTTTAGACCTGTGATGTGAAATTAAATTTCTTGTAAATTCAGAGTCATACAGAATTTTTCCTTTACAGAAAAATTCCTTTACATGTCAGTAATAATTTAATTCCTTAGCTAAAGGGTAGCTGTTTTTGAATAGTGATGAGACTTATTGATTCATTCGGCCTTTATTATGTGGTTGAAAAAATTATTCTCAGCAAATAAGCCTAATTTTAAAATGGTTTAGATTAACACTAAATTCCCACATCAGTCATCTTGCTATGCTGATTATGTGAGAATTTGTAACTGTGGCAGTGACTTAAGTTTTTGCTGTCCCATAGTCTACCTGTCAAAAAGCAGTTCAGAAAAATACCTAGTTTTTGTATGTTCCTTCATGCATGTTAAGAACACCACTGTAAAAGATCATAGCAAAACTTATGGTGAAACTCCTCAGGTTAGTTGTTTTTCAAATATTCTCTGCAGGTGGTAGTTATATTTTGCTTTGAAAGAGCTGTGTGGTTTCATCATTGTGGGCAAGATGTAGATCTCTAACCCTACTGATAACTTTCCAGTGCTAAGGATTGTTATATTAACCTTTATGAAGTATTCAGTCATTGTAGAGGATGCAGTTGCTGCTTATTCCCTAAAGAGACTTTTGCTGGAAAAAAAAATTACACTTATCATATAGAAAATGTAAATATTTTCAGGTTTTTTTAATGCATTTTTACAAATCCTCTTTAAAGAGCTAAGGACTTGAAGTACAAGATATGAAACTATATACGAATTAAAACACAAAATATTTAACTGTGGTGTGTGCTGGCCTATTAAATCCTTTTACTTCTCCCTCTACTGCCCTCTAGGCTACAGGAAAAAACGTTGGATTTGATCGAGGTTCAGATGTGTAACTTTGCTCCTTAAGATTTCTGTAAAATAATGGGGAAGAGGGGGGAATGGTTTAACCAGATGGCCTTTAAAGAGCCACTGCAGCCGTTCTACTTCACCCCAGGAATTTGTAGCTGCCCATTCCCTTACTTTGTGTCATTCAGCTGTCTTGGGACTGTGTTAAGTACTTGCATGTCTAAAATTAAGCGATGTTCCCCCTACTTCAAAGAGTTTATAATCTAGTAGGAGGGGAGAAACCTGTACCTGTGTAAGTAGTAGTAGTATGCAGTTTAGGCAAAGGTGAAGTGTATTGGGAAGGACAAACAGTGACCTTGGAGGTTCAAGTAGAAAACTCTTTCAAATGAGAGAGGTTGAGAAAAAGGTGACTTCTGAACTGGGCTTTAAAGAAGAAGGATTTCTTTGAATAGTAGATAAGGGTGGAGAATGGGGATTCTGTCCTAGGCTTAGGAATAGGGTGGCAGAGAATTGGAAGAAGAGAAAACTAGGTCAGTTTTTGACTGAAGCATAAAATAAAGTTGCAAGGTTAAGTTGGAGCCAAATGGTAGAGGCCTTGAGTGCCTTGCTGAAGAATTTTTTTAACAGGGAGGTGGGAACTACCCACTGTTCCTGTTCATACAGAAAGTGTGATGATTAGTGCTGTGCAGTGAGAAAGTTAAGGGAAGGATGTTTTGGGGAGGGAAGAGACTGAACAGGGAAGCCAGAGGGTATTTCAGCAGATCTCAGAGGAGGGGAGGGGGAAGGCTTTTGTCCATAAAGGCTGTAGAAGAGTTTATGAGAAGCAAGGTTCGGAAGACTGATTCTCGTCCCACCCTCTTAGATTTGGCTGTCTAGCCTCTATCAGTCATTGTCTCTGGTACCTTGAGCTTTCCAGCTCCCTGTTTTTAGGTATATCATGAGATTGAAGGTGAAAGTACTTTGAACTTTTTCAGAAGAAAAAAAAAGGACTTAGAAAGTTGTGGTATTATTGCAGGAGGAAGAGAGGGAAAATGGGAATAGTCTAGAATATTATGTTTTATCTGTCATGGATTGGAACAATTCTCCCAAGGACTAAACTGTACCCTAAATTGTCTACTGAAGGCTAAGTTCCTTAACATTAATCAAGATATCTGTAGGCAGAGATAGGAAATATAATATGAGGTGGGGAATCTGTTCCAAATGGGGGGGGGGTGAGAATGCAGGTGAGTAAATTCTTAGGAGGCTTTGCAAGTTGGCAGAAAAGTAGCTGATGAGTTTTTAACATGGACAATTATGAGGTGATAAATTTTGTATATCTGTATGTTCTTATAACAATTATTTATTGACCAAATCTTGACATAGGAAATGTAAATAAATAGAAAAGAGTTTGACAGGTTTAGTAGTTAATTGACCAAAGAAGAAGGCTTCTAAGGGAAGCTGGGATCTCTTCTATTCATTTTCTCCCAAAGCATTTAAATAAATTGAATAAATTTTATTTTAGCACATGCAAACCCCTAACATATGGTTGAGCTCCCCTCTCCAAAAAAAAAATTTTTTAAACCCTCAACCTCCCAGAAAGCCATTAATAATATTGAGTGATTACAACTTATTTCTTACTTGGTAGTTTGTTGTTAAGGAACAGTTTGTTTTATAAATTAGAGTTAGTGTTGTTAATGTTTTTTCCAGTTTGAAATTACTTTTATTTACATAGCTAGTAATTGTGCGTTTTTTGATTCTAATTTAGTCACTGCATCATTTTATATGTGTTTTGTCATTCTTATGATCTGTCATACTCCATGATATTCATATATTAAAATTAATTTGTTCACTCAGTGTTTGAGTATACAGATTTTCTGAAGTTTTGCTACTATGAATAGTGCTAGCAATATTTTCTTACAAACAAGTCTTTTCTAATTATGGACAACTCTTTTCTGGTGGTGGTATTATAAGAACAGTTTCTTAATATATGCTTGGACTACTCGATTTAGGAATGCTCTTAGACTATTTGTCAGTTTCCCTGTAGATTTTGAAATTTTTTTTTTAGCAGATAGTTCCTACACATACATTTTCCAGCCCAAATTTTTTTTCTTGTTCTAGTAGCACTCATTTATTCAAAAGCTTTTTACTTTTACATATCAAAGTAGTTGTTAGTAGTTTCATAATTCCTGTTACAGGCAGTTATAAATTCATCTCTTCTCCACAGTTCTTTAACTTGAAAAGTGTTACTTTTTATATTGAGATCATTTATCCATTTGAAATTTACTGTAATGTACAGTGTAAAGTTTCTACTTTAAATCTCCTTTATCCCAAATGCTTATCTGCTTTTCCCAGCAGTTTTTAATGAATGAGGAGTTCTTTTCCCTAGTGCTTTTTGTCTTGATTTATGGAATGATGCACCTGTAATAACCTGTTCCACCGGCTAGCTTTTCTGTTTTAATCCAATATCAGATAGTTTTTGATAGTTACTGTTTTATAATGTGATTTGGCATATGGTAATGTCCAAGCTCTTTTTATTCCCACCCCCCCCCATTCTTTTTGACCATTTATTACTCCATATGAATTTTGTTATTACTTTAATTATCTAAAGTATGACCTTAGTGGTTTGGTAAAGTGTTAAGTATGTAAATTAATTTGCTTAATAATGTTTTTATGGTATTGATGTGGATTCTCTGTGGACATTCATTGCCTTGCAACTTTTTTAGAGGTTCTGTTTGATTTTTGTGAAAATAGTTTTGTAATAATATTTGTAGAAGTTGTGTGTGTGTCTTGGTTGTTTAATTCCCGGCTGTTTAACACATTATGTTTAATGGATTTTCCATCTCTCCCTTTTGTTAGTGAAATACAAAAATCTTACTATTTTGGTGGGTTTCAATTGAACAAATATATATTTAGCACCTGTTCTGGGCTGGGGCACTCTGCTGGGTGCTGGGGATACAAAGACAAAAAACTGGTTCCTGTCCTCCAGAAGTTTCCCTGGAGGTGGGTGGGGGAATGACAACAAATACATGGATAAGTAAATACAAAAAGAATATAAAATTAATGCAAAGTAATTTCAGGGTTGGGGGGAGGGGTGCATTATCTAGACTTCAGTGGAGGGAGGTGGCTGAATTGAGCTGCCTAGGAAAGGGTGGACTCTAAGAGGCAGAGGTGGTGAGGACTTGTATCCCTGGGATATTCCTGCAGGGCGGAGGTGCTGAGGAGGAATCGTAGGTAGTAAGCCTGTAATACTAGACTGGAACCTGGTTGTGAAGGATGGTAAATGCCAATCAGAGGATTTTGTATTTTATCCTTAGGAGGCAGTAAGAAGCCAATGCATCAGGGAAACTGATCCAGTCATTCTGTAAAGCACTCTAGAACTATACCCACAAAGTTAACCAAACTGGGCATACCCTTTGACTCTCTTCTTAAGCAGGGAAGTAAAGTGACTGTTTGGAATTGGTCATCTTTGTGGACAGTGTATTGGAGAGAGGGAGAGACTGAAGGTAGGGACAGCCATGTGAGGAGGCTGTCACCAGATGAAGGAGAGTTGATGCTGACCTGAGCTAAGTTGGTGGTCCTGGGAGTGAAGACAAGAGGGCAGATGAGAGAAGTGGGGACTGCAGAATGAACAAGGCACCATCCCCGATTGGATGTGGG